GAGCGACCATTTATTGCCCTGTTATTGCTTGTATAATTAGTTACTAATAGTATTAGCAACACTCGTAATATTTCATAAATGTATGTATATATTTCACTCTTCTTTAGATTTATGCTTACAGATTTATTTGTCATATTTGTATTTTGTTTTAATTATTTTCTGTACCTTATATACTCGTGCTAACTTTATAATTGGCCACTGTGCTGTTAAGTTATTGCACGTAAATAAACATGAATTGAACTGAATTGAATTGAATTATTATTATTATTATTATTACTATTATTATTATTAGTATTAAAACATTTACCAGTACGAGAGGAGATGTATTCTAACACAAAAGACCTTACGTGGCACGCAATTCACGTTGTAAGCATGGTCGCAGACCTTCCAGTGGTCATTGAAATATAGTCCTGCTGGACAGTTCTGCTGTATTGGTTTTCCATTGCTGCATATAAAATATCTGGAACAGTTTGTTTGATCCGGAAACAGAACGGAATGGTCCAATGGGTCAGGGTACGGGCAGTTTTGTCCGGCTACTAGTGGCCCGAAGCACGCCAGAAGAACAGGCAACACAAGCGATGAAAGAGACAAACCTGGAAACATTGAAAAAGAAAATTACCTGATCTCAGTTAAACTTCCTTTTCGCAACGGTGACCTTTCCTTTTACAAGTTATATAGTCATCAATGTTATGTTATCATAACAGAACACGAATTTTCAAAATTGGTTCTGAATTGTTAATTCCCAGTCTAGACACAAGTTTGTTTCGTTATGTCGCTATTTCCTGTACTGAATTTTGACTTTAAATCAAGCATAATTTTGTTTTGGATTATTTTAGGATTCATATAGTTTTATAAACGGTAATTGACAAACCGATCTCTTAATGACTAAGAACTTATTCTCAATGACTAATGTTATGACATCATATCGAGTAATATTTGTATACGTGTTTGCGAATAAACACGGGCTTTTGGATTGGTAATTGGATTTGTTGGACCCTTGTATCTCGTAACTACAAGTAACCCTGGCAGCATCAGTGAATTACGCGCTTTACAAATCAGTGCAGCATGAGCTAAATCTCAGTAATCACTAGCCGTGTCCTGGTAACGGATGCATACAATATCCTCTGCTTACGTACTTTCAGGCCGGCGATTATCTAGCTAACTCAGTTGTCGATTCTCATTTCACGAATATGCCTAATTCTAAGTGACTGCTAAATTGCTGCTGGCCTCTCCAGCACTGCCTGATTCAGAGTCAAAGTTACTGTACGACTGTTGGGCCGCGCCATAGCTCAAGCGGTTAGTCACTGGCTTCCCACCGCGGCGGCCCGGGTTCCATCCCGGGTCTGGTCAAGTGGGATTTGTGGTGGACAAAGTGGCGCTGGTGGAGGTTTTCTCCGAGTACTCGGGTTTCCCCTGCCAATCTTCATTCAACCAATTGCTCCACAATCACCCTCACCTATCATCCGGGGCTGGTACAACAGACCAGAAGTGACCGCAGTACAAGGGACTTAGTCCCACCCCACTAGCAATAAAAATATACTTTACGACTGGTGGTTTAACGCCAGTCAGTTTGTCTTGGTACAAGAAACTTTAAATATCGTAAGTTTAGAAGCAATTTGTACTATTAGTGGATGTCTGTGACATGTCACCATGCAAATTTCAGAAGTGGGGTTAAAATGGTATGTCATTTTAAATCCCTTGTATTAAAAATGTCTCTCACAGCCTAAATGTCGTATTTCATTTCAGTAAAAGATAACAAGTATATTTTTGAAACTCCATAAAGGAATTCACACATTTTTATGGGTCTGTTTGTTCTCACACCTCACAGTCACACGATGGGGCAGTGTTGTTAATAATGGACTTGGCATCTTCAAGGTGACAAAACATAAAGTAGGCTACCCAAGTGGAATTACATTCATACAGAGTTTTGCGAAAATATACCATTGGTGTCTGTACCGAAAGACAGGAAGACAGACCTACACGTACAATTCACTAATATGGTTCAGGAGAACGAAACACGTGGTTCAGGAAACTCTATGTAAACTGAGGCAGTTCTTTACAAATAAACATGTATGGCAGAGTCAATTGAGAAAATATATGCTACCGGTGTTACATATATACTTTAATACTTGCCGTTCATATTTGTCGTTGCTAGTGGATAGACTCAGAGGAAATTCTCGAACTGAAATGCTCCTCAGAACTCAGTCTACTTATACAACTTCCATACATTTTTATCGCAACGTGTGATTTTCAATTACTTCATCAAATCTAGCTTAATCTCAAGTGCAAAATATTTCGCTTTCCTTATCTGAGATTGTAGGCTGGTCCTGAAATGAATTACTCAATATCCTGTGTGTTGGAGTGCCAAAGTCTACGCACAGGACAACAAGATAAGGTGAGACACTTAAGTAGGCAGAGAGATCTCAAGGCTATAATCATATAAGTGAAATTTATGGGAATAATATTATAATTCTGACAAGGATACTTGTCGTCCAAGGCTCTTCGGATCATCCCATAAGCTATCACTCTGTTTCTATCATTCTTTCTTGCAGGTAAGACGATATTTCGCACTGTCCGGGCTCGATGAAACCAGGCGGCAGATCGCACTCTTGCCTTACATTCAATGCGCCTTCAATGCCTCTGCATTCATATAAGAAATCTGTTAATATTAGCACAGCATTCTGTTCAAGCTTCATCCAGTGTCCAAACAGAGACATTTTCTCTTCAAAGTATCATGTAGACATAACTAGCTGTGTGAAATCAGTCACAGTCAACCCGCCTTTGTCTTAAGGCGCGTCCACATTACTCGTGCTCGTGTTCGTGTTCGTGCTCGCCAGGCTTGTGCTTGTCGGGAGACTTGTCTGACTTTTACTTGTGCCCGTAAATCTTCGTCCACACTACTTCAGTTGCTCGCCAGGCTTCGGCGCGTGAGGATCCATATATTTACTCGTAGTGTGTATAAGCCGTAGTGGTATTTTAATTTATTGGCTATAGTTTTTAAATTAAAAATTTGCTTGTCTCGTGACTTGTCATATCGTCTACATTACTCGCGAGCATAGCGAGTCACACGAGCACGGGCACGAGCACGAGTAATGTGGATGCGTCTCTAGATTACGACAGCTATATTAACATTACGTTGGACATTTTCCATTACAAGAAACATATCTGACATGCACAAAATTTGTGAAACTAAATCTGTTTGTGGCGATATGTGTGTGTTGTTTCGCAGTGGTGTTGCGGTGTGGACTGCACATCTTCGAAAGGTTGGACGACAGATAGAAGACAAATTGAAATGTACTGGGAAGAGAGCAACCGATTTTTATCGATGTAGTAGCAGCATATTAGTGAAGAGACTGGGAAAAACCACTACAGATCTCAGGATAGCCTGCGTTCCGGCCCAGATTTGAACCAACTACTTGTGGATTCATCTTCAGTAGATCCGTTTCGTCGTTTGATGTAATGGAGGGGAGGTGACAAGCAATTGGCCCGTTAGAAAGATCCAGTTTCCTTCACCGGACTTGCCTTTCCTGGCAGAGCCATCCGAATAGGATGATTCCAATCGTTGCACTTGATGAGGGAAAGGGGTCCAGTTTCTAGAGCGATCCGCATATCAAATGCGTTGTTTGTTTACTCACTGCCAGTCTTTCCCTAACCTTTGCCACCACCAGGTAGTGCTCAGTATCACAATCTGCTGCCCTGTATGATCGGACATCAAGTGTACTTGAATTCCCATTCCGTTCTAATAAAATGTGTTCTATTTGACTAGTATATATAATTCTACTTTTTTATTCTTTACTTTAATTAATTTTCGTTTTGTCCTGTATTTAAGAGCCGGGATAGCGCAGTCGGTATAGCCACTGGCTGCCAGCTGGCGGGCAAAGAGACCTGGATCTACGTATATATATATCCACTCCTCATACGTCTTCATGGCGCAGTGTTTAATTAGTTAAGCACAGGGACAAATTTACATTTTTACCTCTTCCCTCTGTATTTTGAAACTCAGATATGATTCATTCAACTTATCTTCTCCAAATAGCAAACGAATAGCATTAAATAAATAATACATAACGAATAAAGAAATAAATGATCCAGTATTTATACGAAGGTAAAAGTTAAAGGTAAATTTATCCCTGTACAAGGCCGTGGAGGCTCATAGGGTGGTGAGAGGTTGAGGCCTCCACATCTTATAGACAATCGGCTCACAGTTGCGGTAAGGTTGTCAGCCTTACGCGCCAGCCGCCCTTTATCTCCCAGGAAGATTTCTGGTACTCATTTCTGTTAGAGGCTGAGTCGAACCCAGGGTCATAGTGCTGCTGGAAGGATAAGGTCAATTAAAAAAAATCCAGCTCATCGAAGAGTACTTATACCAAACTCAGTAGAAATATAAATGAAATCCCTTTCTGCTGATAGAAGTTGGACTTTTAGAAGATGAGGGTTGAACACGTGGAGAAAATTTTAATAATTGATGTGATGTGATTAAAGAGATTGATTAAATATTGCGCATCCTGTGTAATTGATCTAAAGTCTTCGTCATACTGACTCAAGATATCACAAGTGTTTTCTGAAGTCATTATTGTCCTTGGAAAGCTAATTGTCTGCATAAACATGTAACAGCCGTGATTTTCACGGTTCACATATAGTTTATCGGCACTTGATAATCACTTGATTTGTGATACTTGTTTAACGAGGTTCAAGAGAGAACGTCGGAACCTTCTTCACAAAGGCTTTACGTAGGTTTGTTCCGATCGTTTTAAATCATCACATTATCTAAATATACAAACCATTTTTCTTTCGCGTAACAAAATAATGTACTTACTAATATTTGTGTTATGTAGAAATTGTGCTCATGTATACATACTTAAAACCTTTCGCAGATTTCAGACATTATCTTCATTGATAAGAAAAGTTGTCCAGTGAAACAAATAACAGTACACTTAACAAGTAGAATATAATCTTCTGTTGGGTGAATGACAAAAATTTCGACGATGAAAGGTGTCGAATTAATGCTCTATAATTTTATTCGGTTGTTACGCGGTTCATGAGAATTTAAAGCATGAACTGTTAACATTTCGACTCTAATCTTACAGAGCAAACTATGCCAATTTTTATCGCTTGTTGCTTGTATTGGGGAGGTGCCTGTTTCGAATCTCGGCCGGAACCCTCATTATCCTTAGATTTTTCTTGGCATTCCTCAGTCCTTCCGGGTAAATACCGTGATAGTACCTTAAAATAAATTGGCTCACCAAAATATCAGAATGTCAGACGTCACTGTCTCTGATATTTTGGATTCAGATCACCTACTTATAATATTCCACATACTGGCTCATGTTAAAATTAGGAATCTTTTGGAACCTATGAAAAAATTCACAGACTTGGAGCGGTTTCAAAGCCTCGCCTCTGAGTTAATATCACCTATAATAGAAATGAAGTCTGGGGTAGAAGCTGATAAAGCGGCACTCGACTTTGCAGCCTCTATTGCTTCGGCATGTAGGTTGTCGACAAGTAAAGTTACACTTTCGGATATAAACAACGATATTCCTGTTTGATAAAACATAAGCAGAGGCTACGAAAATTGTGGCTAGAAACCAGGGATCCAGCGTGTAAAACGGAAGTAAATTGGGGCACCAAATCAGTGAGGCGAATGACCTGTAAAAAGGCACCAGATGGGTGGGAAACAAAAATAGGTAACACTGAAGTCACACTTCAGGGTATATGACCCATTGCGAAATATCTCTTAAAGAGAGACGGACCAAGGGCACCAACTGCTATTCATGGTGCTTCTGGCCTTAAATTTCATTCTTTCGAAAAAGCCAACGCAATTGCCGACTGTTTGGAAATTCAGTTCACCCCGCATGAGCTGTGCGACGATAACCATGAACAGCGGGTGGAGGCTAGAGTTCAAGCTCTGCTGGAAACAGTAGACAACCCTCCTCAAAGGATCAGACCATGTGACGTACAAAAATTAGTAAACTCCCTGAAATTGAAAAAGGCCTGTGGAATTGACGGTATCACAAATGAATGCCTCAGGCACCTTCCAAGGCGACCATCGGTTCACCTAACTCATTTATTTAATCATTGTCTTCGTCTCTCTCACTTTCCAAATACTTGGAAGGAAGCAAAGTAATAACTTTACCTAAACCCGGTAAAGACCCGATATTCCGCAAAATCTACGTCCGATCAGCCTCCTGTCCACGACAGGAAAATTATCGAAAAAATGATTTTGAAATTGCTCCAAAAACACATTGACGAAAGAGGCCTGCTCAACGCAAGCCAGTTTGGTTTTCGTGCACGTCATAGCACAACATTGCAATGTATTAGGCTGGCGGACCATGTGACCCTTAATTTCAACAATAAAATGTCTTCGGCTACGGTGTTCTTGGACATCGAAAAGGCCTTTGATACCACGTGCCACTCAAGTTTGCTGTATAAGTTATCAAAATTGCAATTCTCGAACAGTTTGAACAAACTTATTGGGTCATTTCTCTCAGCGTAAATTCATGGTTTCGGGTGAAGGAGAAATCTCAACGTCAAAGGAAATGCAAGTAGGAGTGTCACAAGGTTCGGTACTGTCCCCTACTCTTTTCAATCTGTACATTTATGATACCCCCCAAACTCTTGGTGTTCACCTGGCCCTCTTTGCGGACGACACTTGTCTGTATGCGACAGATCGCAAGGAGGGATTTATTGTCAGAAAATTCAAGCGCGATCTCAGCTCAATGGAGACCTGGTCTGAGCGCTGGAACATTAAATTTAATGAAGATAAGACTATTTCTCTCGTAGTCGTCGACCGCCTGAGTCTAGTCTTACTCTAAAGCGACGAAATATTCCATTTGTAAACAATGCAAAATATCTAGGTGTAATCTCCGATAGGAGATTTACATGGAGATTGACAATAGAAATGATCGCTATTCAAAAGTGCGCCATTGAGCGCCAATATTAAACTGACCCTCCACAAAGCTCTCATTAGATCCGTAATGACTTATGCTAGTCCCGCCTGGGAATTTGCGGCAGACACCCATCTAATGTAATTGCAGGGCCTGCAAAACAAAGTTCTCCGCACATTGGCAACTCTCCCGGTCCGCGATTTGCACATGGCGTTCAGAATCCCCTATTTATATGACTATATAACAAAATTATGCAGGCAACAAGCAGAAGTCATAGAAAATCATGATAATGAGAATGTTTGCAACATTGGACAAGGCGAAGCCCGACACAGAA